TTCCTCCTCTCTGTCCTTCTATTCCTTCCTCTTTCTGTCTCTCATCCCCCTCCCCTGTCCCTTCTCTTTCTTCCCCTCTGTCTACTTCTATTCTTCCCCTTCTGTCTTCTTCTCTCCTTCCTCTGTCCTTCTCTTCTTCCCTTCCTCCTCTATTCTTCCTGTCCTTCTGTCTCTTCTACCTTTCCTTCTTCCTGTCTATTCTTCTGTCCATCTCCTCCTTCCTTCTCTTCCTTCTCTTCTCTTCTTCCTCTCCATTCTTCCACCTGTCCTTCTCTTCTTCCTCTGTCTACATTTCCATCTCCTGTCTCTTCTTCTCTTCTGTCCTTCCTTCTTCCTCTGTCTCTGTCTACTCTTCTTCCTTCCTCTACTTCTCTTCTTCCTCTGTCTTCTCATTCTTCCTCTGTCCTTCCTTCCATTCTCTGTTATTTCTTCCCTCTGTCCTTCCTTCTTCTCCTCTTCCACCTCTTCTACTTCTTTCCACCTCTGTCCATTCTCTTCTCTCCTTCTCTCTTCTTCTTTCACTTCTTCTTCCTCTGTCTCTTCTTCTTCACTTCTGTCGTCTTCACTTCTCTATCCCTCTGTCTTCTTCTATTCTTCCTCTGTCTACTTCTCTCCACCTCTGTCTCTTCTCTTCTTCCTCTGTCCTTCTCTTCTTCCTCTGTCTATTCCTCTTCTTCCCTCTGTCCATTCCACTGCATCCCCTCTGTCTTCTATTCTTCCTCTGTCTTCTTCTTCCTCTGTCTTCTCTTCTTCCTCTGTCTCCTGTCTTCTTCCTCTGTCCTTCTCTTCTTCCACCTCTGTCCATGTCTCTTCCTCTGTCTTCCTTCTCTTTTTCCTCTGTCTTCTCTTCTTCCTCTGTCCTCTTCTTCTTCCACTCTGTCTCTCTTCTTCCTTCCTCTGTCCATTCTCTGTCTTCTCTTCCTTCCTTCTTCCTCTGTCTTCTTCCTTCCTCTGTCTTTGTCTCTTCTGTCACCTCTGTCTCTCTTCTTCCTCTGTCCTGTCTCTTCTTCCTGTCCTTCCTTCTCTTCTTCCTCTCCTTCCTTCTCTTCTTCCATTCCTCTGTCTTTCTTCTATTCTTCCACCTGTGTCTCTCTCCTTCCTCTGTCTTTCCTTCCTTCTTCCTTCTCTGTCTCCATTCCTTCCTGTCTTCCTCTCTCTTCTCTTTTCTGTCATTCCTCCTCTTCCTCTTCTCTGTCCTTCCTCTTCCACCTTCTTCTTCCTCTGTCTACTTCTCTTCTTCATTCCTCTGTCTCCTTCTCTTCCTTCCCTCTCTTCTTCTCTTCCTGTCCTTCTTCCTTCCTCTCCTTCCTCTCTGTCCTCTTCTTATGTCTGTCTCTTCTTCCTTCTGTCTCCTCCTTCTTCCTCCTTCTCATTCTTCCTCTGTCTCCTTCCTTCTTCCTCTGTCTCTTCTTCCTGTCTCTGTCTCTTCTTCCTCTGTCTTCACCTCTTTCCTGTTCTTCTCTTCTCTCCTCTTCTTCCTCTGTCCTGTCCTTCTTCCTGTCTCTGTCTTCTCTTCTTCCTCCTGTCTTCTGTCTCCTCTTCCTCCTTCTGTCTCTGTCCCTCTGTCTCCTTCCTCTCTTCTGTCTTCCTCTTCTCTCTGTCTCTTCCACCTCTGTCTTCTCTTCTGTCTGTCTCTTCTTTCTCTCTCTTCTCTTCTTCCTCTGTCTCTCTCTTCTCTGTCCTTCTTCCTCTGTCTTCCTCTGTCTCTCCTCTGTCTTGTCTCCTTCCTGTCCTTGTCTCTTCCTCTTCTTCTGTCTGTCTTCCTGTCCTCTGTCTGTCTCTGTCTGTCTCCTTCTTCCTCCTGTCTGTGTCCTCTGTCTGTCTTCTTCTCTCTGTCTGTCTCTGTCTCTTCCTCTCTCTCCATTCTTCCTGTCTCTCTTCTTCCTCTGTTCCTTTCTTCTGTCTCTGTCTTCTTCTTCCTCTCTCTTCTTCTGTCTCCTCTCTTCCTGTCTGTCCTCTCTGTCTTTCTCTGTCTCTCTGTCTCCTGTCTTGTCTTCCTTCTTCCTCTGTCTCTTCTGTCTCTTCTGTCTCTGTCTTCTCTCTCGTCCTCTGTCTGTCTCCTGTCTTCCTGTCCTTCCTGTCTTCCTCCTGTCTCTTCCTCTGTCTGTCTGTCTCTTCTTCCTCTGTGTCTGTCTTCCTGTCCATGTCCACCTCTGTCTGTGATTCTCTCTCTCTCTTCCTTCCTGTGTCTGTCTGTCTCTTCCTTCTTCCTCTGTCTTCCTCTGTCTGTCTGTCCTGTCTGTCTTCTCTGTCTCTCCTTCTCTCGTCCTCCTCTGTCTCTTCTGTCCTCTTCCTGTCCTTCTGTCCTCTGTCTTCTCTTCTTCCTCTGTCTGTCTTCCTCTGTCTCTGTCTTCCTGTCTGTCTTCCTGTGTCTTCCTCTTTGTGTCTTCCTCTTCTCTTGTCCTCTGTCTCTCCTTCTGTCTTCCTCCTTCCTTGTCTGTCTTCTGTCCTCTTCTGTCTGTCCATTCTCCTTCTCTCTCCTGTCTCTTCCTTGTGTCTGTCTCTTCTCTCTTCCTCTGTCTTCTTCCTCTGTCTTGTCTTCCTGTCTGTCTTCCTCTGTCTTCTTCCTCCTGTCTGCTTCTCTCTTCCTCTGTCTGTCTGTCTCTCTGTCCCTTGTCTTGTCTGTCCTTGTCTCCTCTGTCTGTCTTCCTTCTTCCTTCTGTCTCTTCTCTTCTTGTTCCTCTGTCTCTTCCTGTCTTCTTCCTCCTGTCTTCTGTCTTCCTTCTGTCCTTATCCTCCATCTCTCTTCTGTTCTTCTTCTCTGTCCTTCCTGTCCTTCTCTTCCTGTCCTTCCTCTTCTCGTTTCTTGTCCTTCTCTTCTTCTGTCCTCTCCTCTGTCTTCCCTCTGTCATCTCTCCTTCCCTGTCCTTCTTCCTCTGTCCTTCTTCTCTCTCCTTCTCTTCTTCACCTCTGTCCTTCTATTCCTCTTTCTCTTCCTTCTTCTTCCTCTCTTCTCTTCTCTCCTTCTCTGTCCTTCTTGTCCTCTGTCCTTCTGTCTCTTCTTCCTTCCTTCCTCTGTCTCTTCTTCCTTCTCTCTGTCTTCTCTTCTTCCTGTCCTTCTTCCTCTTCTCTTCTTCCTCTGTCCTTCTGTCCTTCTGTCTGGATTCTCCTCCTTCTTCCTCCAGTCTCTTCCACCCCTCTGTCCATTCTTCTTCCCTGTCCTTCTCTTCTTCCTGTCTCTTCTCTTCTTCCCCTGTCCTTCCTCTCTTCCTCTGTCCTTCCTTCTTCCTCTCTGTCTTCCTTCCTTCTTTCCTCCTCTATCCTGTCCTTCTTCTTCCTCTGTCTATTCTCTTCTTCCCTGTCCTTCTCTTCTGTCCTTCTCTTCCTCTGTCTCTTCTTCCTCTGTCTTCTATTCTCCTTCCTCTGTCCTTCTCTTCTCTCCCTCTGTCTTCCTGTCTTCTTCCTTTCTCTTTCTCTTCTTCCTCTGTCCTCTCTTCTTCCTCTGTCCTGTCTTCTTCTTCTTCCTCTGTCCTCTGTCTTCCTCTTCTCTCCTCTTCCCTGTCTTCTACTTCCTCCTCTGTCTACTTCTCTTCTTCCACTCTGTCTTCTCTTCTTCCCCTTGTTCTTCCTTCCTGTCTTCTGTCTATTCTTCCTTCTCTGTCCTTCTGTCTTCCTTCTGTCCTTCTCTTCTCTTCCTCCATTTCTCTGTCCTCTGTCCTCTTCTTTCCTCTGTCCTTCTTCCACTGTGTCTTCCTTCTCTTCCTCCTCTGTCCTTCTCTTCTTCCTTCTGTGTCTCTCTCTCCTTCCCTCTGTCTCTCCTGTTCTTCCCCTCTGTCTTCCTTCTCTTCTTCCTCTGTCTCTTCCTGTCTTCTCTGTCTTCTGTCTCCTTCCTGTCCTTCTTCCTCTGTCTCTCTCTTCCTCTCTTCCCTCTGTCTTCCTGTGTCTTCATTCTCTGTCTCCTTCTTCTCCTCTGTCTCTGTCTCTTCCTGTCCTGTCTTTCTCCTTCTTCCTCTGTCTCCTTCCTGTTCTTCCTTCCTGTCTGTCTCATTCCTCTGTCTTTCCTTCTATTCTTCCTCTCCTGTCTACTTCTCCTCTGTCTCTCTGTCTTCTATCCTTCTCTCCTCTGTCTCTCATTCTTGTCCATCTTCCTCTGTCTCTCTTCCATTCTTCCTCTGTCTTTGTCCTTCTGTCTGTCCTTCTTCCTGTGTCTACTGTCCTTCCTTTCTCTCCTCTGTCTCTGTGTCTATTCTGTTCACTTCTCTGTCCTTCTGTATTCTTCCTCTGTCTTCTTCTCTTCCTCTGTCTTCTGTTCTCTGTTCTGTCTTCTGTCTGCTGTCTTCTCTTCTGTCTACCTCTGTCCTTCTCCACTCTGTGTGTGTCTCATTCCTGTCCATTCTTCCTCTGTGTCCTGTATCTGTCTCTCTTCCTCTGTCATGTCTCATTCCTTCCTCCTCTGTCTTTCTGTCCTGTCCTCTGTCTTCCTCCTTCTTCCTTCTGTCTTCTGATCCTTTTCCTTGTCCTTCCTCCTGTCTCCTCTCCCTCTGTCTTCTCTTCTTCCTCTGTCCTTCCTTCTTCCTCCTTGTGTCTGTCCTCTCTTCCTTCCTCCTGTCTGTCTCTTCCATCTGTCCTTCCTCTTCCTTCTTCCTCCTGTCTCTTGTCCTGTCCTGTGTTCTTCCTTCCTGTCTTCTCTTCCATGTCTCTGTGTCCTTCTTCCTCTGTCCTGTCTTCTTCTCTGTCTCCTTCCTGTCTCCACCTCTGTCTGTGTCTTCCTCTGTCTTCTTGTCCATCCTCTGTCTCTGTCTCTGTCTTCTTCCTGTCTGTTCCTCTGTCTCTCCTCTGTCTGTTCGTTTCCTCTCCTGTCCTTCTTCCTCTGTCTTCCTTCCTGTCCTGTCTTCCTCCTCGTGTCTCTGATCTCTTCCTGTCTCTTCCTGTCTTGTCCTCCTTCTCTGTGTCTCTCCTCTGTCTCTTTCCTGTCCTTGTCTGTGGCTTGTCTCAGGTCCTCCTGTCTGTCTTCCTCTTCCTCCTGTTCCTCTGTCCTTCTCTTCTTCCTGTCCTCTCTGTCTGTCTGTCTCTCCTTCCTCTGTCCTTCCTTCCTCCTTGTCCTCTCCTTCCTCTTCTTCCTGTCTCTTCCTGTCTGTCTGTCCTTCTGTCTGTCCTTCTGTCTGTCTGTCCTCTCTTCTGTCTCCTTCCTGTCCTTCTGTCTCTGTCTCTGTCCTCTGTCTGTGTCTCTGTCCGTCTCCTCTGTCTCCTCCTGTCCTTCCCTGTCTGTCCTGTCCTGTCTCTTTTCTTTCTGTGTCTCCTCTTCCTTCCTGTGTCCTTCCTTCCTGTCCTTCCTTGTCTCCTTCCTGTCCTTCTTTCCTTGTCTTCTTCCTTCCTGTCCCTTCCTTCTGTCTCTGTCTGTCTGTCTGTCTCCTTCCTGTGTCCTTCCTTCCTCCTCTTCTCTCCTGTCCTGTCCTTCCTGTCCTTCTGATCTCCTTCCTGTCCTGTCTGTCGTGTCTCCACTCCTGTCCTTCTCCTCTTCTTCCTTCTCTCTCCTCTCCTTCCTCCTTCCTGTGTCTGTCATCTCCTTCCTGTCCTCCTTCTTCCTCTCTGTCTCTGTCCTGTCTTCTTCCTCTGTCTCTTCTCTTCCTCCTCTGTGTCTTCCTGATTCTTCCTGTCCTTCCTTCCTCTGTCCCTTCTTCCTGTCCTCCTCTGTCCTCTCTCCTTCCTGTCCTCTGTCCTTCTCTATCTCTGTCCTGTCCTTGTCTCCTTCTTCCTGTCCTTCTCTCTCTGTCCTCTCCCTGTCTCCTTCCTGTCCTCCTTCTCTTCCTGTCCTTCTCCCTCCTGTTCCCCTCTGTCCTCTCTCTCTCCTTTCCTTCTCCTCTCTCTCCTTCCTGTCCTTCCTGTCCTTCTCTGTCTCCTTCCTGTCTCCCTCTGTGTCTCTATCTCCTTCCTTCCTCCCTTCTGTCTCCTTCCTTCCTGTCCTCCTTCCTTGTCCTCTCTGTGTCTCTATCTCCTTCCTGTCCATTCTGTCCATTCTCTGTCTCGGTGATCTCCTTCCCTTCCTTCCTCTGTCCTTCTTCCTGTCCATTCTCCTCTGGATCTCCTTCCTTCCTTTCCTTCTCTGTCCCTCCTCTCCTTCCTCCTCCTGTCTTCTCCTTTCCTGTCCTGTCTCTCCTTCCCTGTCTTCTCTGTCTATCTCCTTCCTGTCCTTCTGTCGTCTCTGTCCTCCATTCCTTCCTCTGTGTCCTTCTGTCTCTCCTTCCTGTCTGTCCTCTGTGTCCTCCTTCCTTCTTCTGTCCCTTCCTCCCTCCTCCTGTCTCTCATCTCTCCTTCCCTCCTCCTCTCCTCATTCTTCCTCTGTCTCTCCTTCCTGTCCTTCTTCCCTGTTCATTTCTCTGTCTCTCCTTCCTGTCCCTTCTTCTTGTGTCTCATTCTCTGTCCCTTCTCCCCTGTCTCTATCCTCTCCTTCCTCCATTCCTCTCTGTCTCTATCTCCTTCCTGTCCTTCTGTCCCTCTGTGTCTCTTTCTCCTTCCTGTCCTTATCCTGTCCAGTCTCTGTCTGTCATTTCCATTCTCCTGTGTCTCTCCTCTTCTTCCATCTGTCTCCTCTGTCTCTCCATCTCTGTCCTTTCTCCTTCCTCCTCTCATTCCCTGTCCTTCTTCCTCTGTGTCTCTGTCTCCTTCCTGTCCATTCTCCCTGATGTCTCCTTCCTGTCTTCTTCCTCTGTCTGTCTTCTCCTTCCTGTCCCTTCTTCCCTCCTTGTCTCTCCTTCTCCATTCTGTCCCTCCTCTGTCTCTCCTTCCCTGTCCCTTCTCTCCCTCTATCTCTCTCTCCTGTCCTTCCCTCCTCTCTGTCTATCTCATGTCCTTCTCTCCTTCCTGTCCTTTCTGTCCTTCTCTGTCTCTATCTCTCCTTCCTGTCCATTCTTCCCTTCTGTATCTTCTCCTGTGTCTGTCCTTCCTCCTGTCTCCTCCTTCCTGTCCTTCTTCCTCTGTCTCCTCTCTCCTTCCTGTCCTCTCCTCCCTCTGTATCTCTATCTCTCCTTCCTGTCCTTCTTCCTGTCTCTGTCTTCATTCCTGTCCTTCTCCTCTGTCTCTGTCTCTCCTTCCTGTCCCTCTCCCTGTCTCTATCTCTTCCTTCCTTCTCCCTCCCCTGTCTCCTTCCTCTTCTCCTGTCCTCTGTCCCTTCTTCCCTGTCCTCTGTCTCTTCCTCCTTCTGTCCCTTCTCTCTCCTGTCTCCTTCCTTGTCCCTCTTTCTCCTCTCTGTCATCTCTCTCTCTCTCTTTCCTGTCCTCCTTCTCCCCTTCTTCCTATCTCTCTGTCCATTCCTGTCCCCTTCCTCTCCCCTCCTCTGTCTCTCCTTCTTCCTGTGTCTCTCCTTCTGTCCTTCCTACTCTGTATCCTCTCCCTTCCTGTCCTTCCCCCCTACTCTGTATCTCTATCTCTCCTTCCTGTCCCTTCTCCCCTACTCTCTATCTCTCTCTCTCCTTTCCTGTCCCCTCTCTCCCTACTCTGCCTCTCTATCTCTCCTTCCTGTCCCTGTCCCTTCTCCTCCTCTCTGTCTCTCTATCTCCTGTATCTCCTGTCCCTGTCCTCCTCCCTACTCTCTGTCTCTCATTCTCCTTCCTTCCCTGTGTCTCTATCCTGCTCTGTATCTCTCCCTCTCTGTCTATCTCTCTCTCCTGTCTCTGTCCCCCTTCTCTCTCCTCTCTCCTGTATCTCTCTCTCCTTCCTGTCTCCTTCCTGTCCCTTCTCCCCTACTCTGTATCTCTATCTCTCCTTCCCCCTGTCCCTTCTGTATCTCCCTACTCTGTCTCCCCTCTCTATCTCTCCTTCCCTGTCCCTTCTCCCTACTCTGTATCTCTATCTCTCCTTCCCTGTCCCTTCTTCCCTACTCTGTATCTCTATCTCTCCTTCCCTGTCCCTTCTCCCCTACTCTGTATCTCTATCTCTCCTTCCCTGTCCCTTCTCCCCTACTCTGTATCTCTATCTCTCCTTCCCTGTCCCTTCTCCCCTACTCTGTATCTCTATCTCTCCTTCCCTGTCCCAATCTCCCCTACTCTGTATCTCTATCTCTCCTTCCCTGTCCCTTCTTCCTACTCTGTATCTCTATCTCTCCTTCCCTGTCCCTTCTCCCCTACTCTGTATCTCTATCTCTCCTTCCCTGTCCCTTCTTCCCTACTCTCTATCTCTATCTCTCCTTCCCTGTCCTTCTCCCCTACTCTCTATCTCTATCTCTCCTTCCCTGTCCCCTCTGCCCTACTCTGTAACTAAAGCCCGAATGTCTGAACACATGGCCCTTGTAGACATGCTACAACAGTGTGGCATGTACGCCTTACCTTAGCATTCAGGGGACAGACTTTGAGTGCAGAGGTGTACAGCGTTTTTCTCCCACCATACTCCTGGCATCTCTAGAAATAAATACCATGTATCGTTGTTAGGCAACTACAGTACGTGTGATTTCACTTGAGACCGATGAATTGCTCACAAACACGAATTCTAATAATGGTAACAAAACCAAGTTCTGCGCAGACATCGACAGACCAACTCTGACGATTTGTCTCATAATTGTAAGAATAGGCGATTCTCAGACCGAACGGTGTTTATATGGTATTGTCTTATTCAATTAAACTGTTTTTGTTTCACATGCTAGTTTCATGTTATCTGTGATACTCTAGTATTTTTACTTTTCATCATCGACAGGTTTTACTCTTCAAAATGTTTTCATCTTTATTGTATACATTGTTTTCGTCATGATATGGCTGATATATTGCCGATAAGACGTTAAATACTCAGTCACTCACTCACACACTCACTCACTCACTTACTCAGTATGCTGTGCTCCAGCAGAAATGGTCGTAAATATATAATCCCTGACATCTGTCACAAACAAGAGTCATGTTAGATCATGGCTCGTAACTGAATTCCTGAAACACCGAATTCGAGATAAAGTCACACTTACCTTCATTGATCGCAGCACGAACACCAATATGAGGAGTGTGAATCCAGTCTTCGCCAACTGAAGTACAACATAATATACAGTTAAACACAGCTATGGCGACCTTTGAGCTACGGTTGTTACGAAGTAAACGTGTTGTCTCTGCTTATGCCTTCTTAGTCATCAATTGCGTTTGTCACGAACCTCGAATAACTCAAAGTTTTAGGTAGGTCAATTCAACTTCGACATAGCTGTGTCTGTAAAACGCCAATTGTAAAGAATAAGCAGTCTTGCCTATCGTCAGGAAAGGATTCGATTTGGCAAAATAGCTGTGACAATTATATGGACGGGCAAAAAAACCAGACACCAGCATGTCCTGTCCTACGATAGCGTTCGACATTCTCACAATTTGCCTGATAAAGTGAGTATTTATTGCGTGACGCCGCACGGCAGTACTATTGTAGTTCGAACGCAGCCTGTAAACAAACCAGACAATCAAGTGATCTATCGATGGACGAGTAAATCTAATGACACTATAGTGCTCTTTGCTATTCTTGTAGAAAGTAAAAAGCACAATATGTTAAGTTATTACAAATATTATGTTGGTTAATGCCACAAGCGCAGAGCGATTATGTTGTACTGAATACGTAATGTATGTGCCTCACCAGAGGTCCTAAATGTGATTACAACCTCACTTATACTGACTGTAACAGTAACCGAAAAATAAACAATATTGAACATGAGCAACAAAACCCTTTTCACATGCTCATAAAGTCGAATTGTCGAGTGTTCGATTCCGACAATATCATGATCAGGTGTTGACGAATCAAATAGTGATGATACCAGGTGATCGTGAAAATGAACCCTCACATACTGTACTGTGCCACAGCATGTCGTTTGTTTATTTGTTTACAACTGAAATGAACACAGTGTCGTTGCTAACTATTTCACATGCATCTGTAATGATGGTGGTAAATAATTATGTGTTTGACTGACAATAGGGTACATAAGCAAAACTTACAAAGTACATTTAAACTTGCCAACTTTTCAATACGTAGTATTTTTGTGATTTTAATTTTGGCTAAAGTTTACTTCATTCGCCAGCTGATGAAGGAATGGTGTAAATCCAGCTATGGTCCATGCAGGTAGAAAATGCACGGTAAGTCCCCTTGGTCCCTAGTATGGCGTCCTACCTTCACTTGTTGGCGACCTATAGCAATTGTTATATTGTGTTGCCACTTAACAGTTTACTATTCTATATGCTCCCTAACTAGTTTTAAATAAAATGTGATGTACTAGTTGTTGTACTGTCCTTTCATTGTATAACCTTTAAATATATTTCATACTATTTTTTATTGCTGTATAAGGTTCTCTCGTCACGTTATGGCTGAAACATTGCCGATGTGACGATAAATTTTAACTTGCTCACTCACTACTTACAACAGATCATGAAAATCAAATCATTTCATAAAATAAAATTGTTACTGAATCACGTGCCATATAAATACTGTTTCTGAGTAAAACAGAAAAATATATAGGATCACACAGTGAGTGAGTGAGTTTAGTTTTACGCAGCTTGTAGCAAAATTCCAACAATATCACTGCGGCAGACACCAGAAATGGCTTTCACATATCGTGACCAAACAGTGAGTGAATGAATAACGTTTTAACCATTAGGCAACAACGCCCCAACGATCACACAGTACCCATGACAGGATCGATATAAGAATACCACTTTAACCCTTGATATCATCCCCAATCAGACTGATAGAATGCATGAGATTATTTAACGGTAACGTATAATTTTCAAAGTTTCGCTACATGTCATCTACCTGTTTGAAACTATGTAGATGAAGACAGATGTGCCTGGCCCCGAGCACCACCAACATACAGAAGCCAGCACAGGACAGGTACAGATTCCTCTCTGCGATGACGAAGCCCACACGGAAAAACAGGTTGCTGGCTGGCAGGAACGGAACACCCAACACGGCCAGGGACATAATCAACACACTGGAAAAGATACATGAACATATTTTTAAATGTTGAGATGTTTTAGTGATGTCAACAAAAAACCATATACCATGTTTAGATTGCACATTGTTTCAGCATGTTCCTGTGATATTAATGAAATGCATGATAGCTATCATAGCAATGTCTCTTTTGACTTCATGCATGAAACCACATGTATAACGTTTACTTATGAACGTCACGTATGCTGGCATAACAATAATATCATATATACTACCCATCAAAAGTTTAGACTCCCTTAAAGCACTCACTATATGTTATGTATGTAATATGTGGTTACATCGAATATGAATTTCTCCACTAACTTAGGGGAACCGACTGCAATCCCTATGCAGAAGAATTGCACGAGGACCATGCATCAAATTGCTGAAAGGCATGTGCAAATATTGTGCATGTGAACAGCTGCATTTAGGTGTAAATCTTTGTTAGGAGTTCACCAATTTTCACTGAGTTTCATCATTTATTGAACTCATGACAATAATCTTTTCAACGTTGCGAATTTGTTTTACAATACATCAGTTCATGTGTAAACAGTACCTTTAAATAGTGTGGAATATTTTGCAAAATCTAGTTTAGAACAGTTGACTTAAGTAAGTGGCTGCACTTACACTAAACTTTTGATGGATAGTATATTAGTAAATTTTAGGCAGGTAAAACACGGTAAAAGACTCTAATCTAATATCATATACTGACAGTACTGGCAAACTTATAAGTCATCACTTTTTATCAAAATGTATAATCGTCCCGATTTGACTCACAAAATACACATCTTAATTTAAATTGAAAAGTATCTTTGCAATGGCTTCCTTCCAAAATAATCTTCACAGGAGATCATTAGGATGTGAGCCGTACCTGCGAGTTCTTGTGAGCTCACCAACACAGCAATGGTAAAACAAAGCACCAAAGACAACCCAGAGCGCTATATCTGCTAGTATCCTGGAATCTGCCAATGACGTGATGACGGGGATACAACCCATCGACCAATCACAGCACAGCCACCATGGGTTCAACAGCAGCCAAGCATTCATTGCATATATATAGTTGTAATTCAAAACCTGAAATCAGAGCGCATTCATGACGACTCGAAATGATCGTAATAATCATAAACTAAAACAACATATGGCAACATTAATTTAAGTAAACAAGGTTATAATGCGCAGAAAAGGGTCACTAACTTTAGTTCGTTATAACCGTGGTTTGATAAACGCATTTCGACTAAACTGTACAGGTGATCAGAAAAAAACAACAACATGAGCATGTTCGTCATAAACGTACCTTTCTGAATATTTATTCGGACTTCTAAACTGATGAGATTTCAGCAAAAATCTACATTTTTTTAAATTTAATAAAGCAGATTGGACAGTTTGATAATAGAAGCTTTAATGCCGATGGAATCATAATCATCGCGACAAGAACGCATTGGGAAATTAAGTGAAACATTCCTAAATCACAGACTGTAGAACGAATTGTCTGACTATGTCCAAACCCCCTTCGGTTTGCAATACTTAAGTTTTCTGAAGAAGTGTCAGTGATATTATCAACTCATTAGGTTTAATTATCTTTCACAGTGTCGAACAGTATTGAACTCACTCTCAGCATAGTGCCATTAACAAAGGAATGTGGATTGTCATTCTCCGTGAATAAGGGCGCTGTTGATCCCATGACCCGTACTCGAGTTATAAGGACAGACATGCCGGTCAGAAACAGGATGAGATGACGCTTAATGAGACTCTTTACCCATCGAGACATTCTCTTCTGCAAGAGATGAATACACGTGGCCTTGAATCAAACAATGGAAGTAACAGTTTTTGTTTTGTTTGTGTAACGTCGCATGTAGCGATATTCCAGGTATATGACGGTTGTATGGAGAAAATCAAGTCTGTACAAGTGAATCCAGTGATTGATATCATGAGCATTGAGAAACAATGGCATCAACGAACTAAATCGGCGAGCCTGATCACTCGATTCCTTCAGTCGCCTATTACAACGGTTATTTCTGTTTCAATCTTTCTTTTTCAGCTGATTCAGCATAATTGATAAGCGTACTAAGCATATGATAAAACTCGGCAATTTCAGCAGAATCATGGACTCAGTTATGAGGTTAACATTACAAGCCATCATCACCTAACCTTTACGTAGCGAGACCAAAATATCGACACCTCATGAGACAAACCCGAACAAAAGTCGCTAATGGGAATAACGTCCAGCAACTGATGTCGGCATATCTACTTGATACACGCATGTGTTACCTTCTCATTGACAAAATCATTGATTATCCGTTTCTTGTTCGTCAGCAGCTGGAAGGGATCGATTCTACACACAACGATGATGTCAAAAGCGCTACAGATGCCCTACAGATACAAAAAAAATAACATGAGCATTGATCGATTTTTCATATGAAAAGTACGAAAACACTTCGCGTGCATGTTTTAAATATAATATTAAAAAGGTAACTGTAACATATTTTATTACAAAAGTGAAATTGAAATTTGCCTACAATATTTTTGCAATCTGCGATGAATGCACGACGAAATATATACCAACAATTCCGGAAACAATGGGCATCATCACTACGCCATCAATCTGATTGAACCCAGGTTCTCACTAATAACCTTTGGTCGTTGGGTAAGTGATGTCTGATCAGACAACGGGCCCTTATATCAGCAGCCCGCAGTCACCTTCTGGTATACAAGTTGAGAGTCGGACTCTCCCAGTCCTACATTGCGGGCATTGGTCTTCCTGGGTCTTACAGATCTTGGACGATGTTTATTGACCTGTAGCCACGCGCTTGGTCACAAGTAGACAAATAACCGTAGTGGCTGATTTGGACAGTTGGTCTCCACACACGGTGTTGTCACTACTGTAGATATTCTGCTGACATGTATTTGTTGGAAAATAAATACGATAGGTTATGTACACAGCTCTTGGCAATGCAGGGGCGGTGGGGTAGCCTAGTGGTTAGAGCGCTCGCTCATCACGCCGAAGGCCCGGGTTCGATTCCCCACATGGGTACAATTTGTGAAGCCCATTTCTGGTGTCCCCCGTCGTGATGTTGTTGGAATAGTGCTAAAAGCGGCGTAAAACCATACTCAGTCAGTCAGTCAGTCTTGGCAATGTGATAGAGCAACATTATATCACTTGTTAGAGTGGCATTTTAGAAGTTGAGACGTAAAATATAGAACACCTTTTTATGGATAACAACTTTTTTACTTCGTGAGTGCGACGTGTCGATAGAGATTCTTGTACCGTTGCCCTCACTGGTGCTCGACAACGGTACAAGTATCTGTATCGAAATAAATCGCACTGACGAAATAAAGAAGAGTCACGATATTCTGCCTTACTTTTTATGTAACTGTCAACTTTGTAGAAAGGTTTACCTTTGTGGGTTTTTATGATCTCATATAGCTGAGGCTTCGTTGCCATTGAAGGCCGTGCGATCTGCAATTTGTCGAGCCATGATATCATATCACCTTTTCGACTGTTCGATGAAGGGTTTCACTGTCGGGGTCCTGCACGCTGTGGTATGGGGCACTGTCCATTATGATAAAAGACTTCTCTGGTAGAGCTGGTACCAACTTGTTTTAACCCAATCGAGGAAAACCGCACCATTCGTCTCGGAATGGTAGTCTCTGTTATCTGTGGACTTTGCCCTGCATACTAAGTCGCAGCCTGGGAGAGAAGACGAGAGCAGATGCCACAGAGAAGCTGAGTTTGGGTACAGGCAACACATCATCCCACTGTGGTTCCCGGAAATTAGTCTTGGAGGATCTACCTGACCATCCATTTCTGCCTGTCATCGCCCTGAGTTTGGTATTCTGCAGATGTCATTAAGGTTAATATCAAGTGAGTGAGTGAGTGAGTGAGTATTTATCGTCAGATCGGCAATAATTCATCTATATCGTGACGAAGACATTTTATATATTAAAGATTAATATATTTTGAAGATTAAACCCTGTCGACGATGGACAGTAAAACTACTATCACAGTATCACAGAAAAAGGTAAAAGTAGAATGTTATTTTATAAGCATATCACTAAACAGAGCAACACTATCTAAAACCGGGCCATAGATCACCAGCAACTGAAGGTAGATCACCAAACGAGGGACCATGGCGACTTACAGTACCTTTACTACCTGCATGGACCCTAGCTGCATTTACACAATCCCTTCAGCCGCTGGCAACTGTAGTTAAAGATGGCCAGAATTTAAAATCACAAAAAATACTACGATTAAATAGTCTGGCAAGTTTAAATTTATCTTGAATGTTAGTGGACTTACGTACCCTATGAGGATATCATATGACAGATTCACTAAACGTATAAACATTTCAGAATATATATCCGTATAAAAATACCATATAGACACGGGCTACAGTAGAAACAGTACATTTACTGCCTCACGAACCCCAGCTGGATTTACATGATCACTTCAGGTGATGTCAGTTCTAGCGAATAACAGCCAAGCATTACACGAACACATTTTTTACGATTACGACACTGGAAATCATATAAAAAAACACTCTGAAAGACATTGGATCATACGCTCTACAGTTAGGTCTGTGTATTGGCTGGAATGGAATAGGAAATAAATAAATTTAAATAAATGTGATATAACACACTTTTGGGAGCACAAAGAGTGCCATTGACTGGCAAGGAGTGAGCGAGCGAGTTTAGTTTTACGCCGTACTCAGCAATATTCTAGCTATATAGCGGGGACTGTAAATAATCCAGTCTGAACCAGACAATAGAGTGATCACTAGCATAAATATCGATCTACGCAATTGGAATACGATGAAATGTGTTCAACGAAGTCAGCAAGTCTGACCACCCAGCCTCTCACGAGAAGCATGGGTTACTGAAGATCAGTTCTAACCCGGATCTTCACGGGTAGAAATAACTATCGACTATCGCTTAAACATTATACTACCGATGTTAAAACTATAAATAATCAATACGAAATCATACATGAATGAAACTGGAATTCACATCAATAGCACATGTAAAATAATCAGTCGTGCGCATTGCCTTAACGGAGAAGTTGTAAATGGATGTATTGTATCGAGAACCTCGGATCACGATCCCATACTTTATTGCTGCATCGATCACCACTACAAGCCAGGCACTCAAGCGATGGTGCAGCAAATCATTGAGTAAGTATTGTTTTACGCCGCTATTCATGGAAGAGCACGACAAGGGACATTAGAAATGGGCTCTTCACATTGTACCCATGTGGGAATCGAAGCCGAGTTTTCAGCGTGAGAAGCAGAAGCTTTAACCATTAGGCTACAAGCAGACGTTTTTATCGTTAGGCTCCACGCAGACTACGATAACTTAGAGAGAATGGATATGTATAATATGTATGCCTTAACAAGTCTCGTTAAAAGGCATATTGGTCGTAAGTTAAAATGTATATGTTAATAAAACGTTTCACAAAATGAAATAGCAAACAACACGGAATTTCAACGGTGTTCCCAACGTGAACAATCGATTAACTGCATTTTGATATTCCTGCCCTTAGCTCATGCATATTTCATTATGAGCGGACGATACAGCAGATGATATTGACCTCTATGGCGACATATTTGTGACACACATTTCGCCAACTCGAGTCCAACTCGTTTCGTTGAGTGCGCAGAGTGAGTCGGAGCTAATTTTGACACATGGGAAGAGTCGAATTGTATATCCGACATAGAACATGCTTTCAATTCATGCGACTGTTTGTAGGATATGCTCTTATTCTTGTGGTAATGACTGAAAATGTGTTTGACTTTTATACAATTTGTTTCTTATAAAATACACGAAAGAGTGAAAATAACAGTTTGCACTCGAAAATCAAAATGACATGTCAAAAAACAAAGAGGAAATTCCCCTAAAACAGTTGAGTTGAGTTGAGTTGAGCTTTACGTCACATCGGCATTTTCCCAGCCATATAGTGACGAGAACAAGTTTGCATTAGTAAATATTGTAAGTACATACTCGGAATGAGTTTTATTTCAAAGACATTTATTGATTACATTGTCATTCAAAAGCAGAAAAAGTCATATCATCAAATTTAAAGGCAGGCGGTTTGTTACATTTCGTAGTTACAATTTATGGTTGTTACATTTCACAGTTACAATTTATGATACAGATCAACTTCCCTCAGGTAGTTCAGTATCAGATGGGCGCTCACGCGTGAGAACAGATCTTTTAGGTTTGTTGCATCATAATGTGAGTCCCTTGCAGGCGATAAGTCCACGCATTCAAGCACAATATGCTTGACGGTGAACACCTCATCGCAAGAGACACACATGGGGGGTCCATCCCCATCCGTTTTCAGCAGATAGTCATGTGTAAATCGACTGTGGCCAATACGACATCGTCGTAAAATTACCTCATCGCGTCTTGACTGACAACCAAAGTAGGTATAACCGATTGTTGGCTTCAATTCATGGAGTTTGTTTCTTCCTACTTGAGTGTCCCACCTTTTTTGCATCAGGTCCCGAGTATAGCTTTTGATAGTGGGTTTGAAGTCACTGTATGGGATTAGCAGTGGAGATAGGGGCTTTTCGAGAGCTGCTTTTGCTGCAGCATCGGCCTTAGTGTTACCTGCTATGCCGACGTGACCCGGCAACCAGCAGAGGATGATGTCATATTGGCCAGTCGAAAGGTCGTTGTACAGTTCTAATATGTCCAGGATGATTGGGTGACTTGAAGTCACATTTAGAAGTGCTTGAAGGCAGGATAATCAATCTGTAAATACGATGAAGTTTTTGGACTGATTTTGCTGTTGAATGTAGGTCAAAGCTGAGAAGATAGCTTTGGCTTCAGCGGTGAAAATGGAACTGTTGTCGGGGATCCTAGAGGAGACAGTCTTGGCTCAATGACTGTAGCG